ATGGATATCACCCCAAAATCAAAAAACAGTAAATGCTGGAAAGGATGTAGGAAAAAAGATATTCTAATACACTTATAGTGGGAATGCAAACTAGTACAATCATTATGGGAGACAGTATGGAGATTCCTCAGAGATTTGAAAATAGATCATATGACCCAACCATCCCACTCCTGGGAATTTACACAAGGCAAGTGAAGCCAGCATATGAAAGTGTCATTTGTGCCCCCATGTTTATTATAGCTCAATTCACAATAGCTAAAAGATGGAATCAACCCAGATGTCCATCAACTGATGACTACATAAAGAAAATGTGGTATATATGCACTATGGAATGCTATTTGGCCATAAAGAAGAATGAAATCCTGTCTTTTGCAACAAAGTGGATACAACTGGAAACCATTATGTTTAGTGAAATAAACCAGTCCCTAAGAGACAAATATCATATGGTTTCCCTGATCTGTGGTAACTAATATGCAGAGTGCAAAAAATGTAATATATATGAGAAAATTGTCATTTTGATATTTGATTAATGATTACAGCCCTTATCTATACTCTTGAGGAACAGTGGTTTTTCTGCTTAGTACTTGCTGAATTGTTTATTTAGTGGAGAGTTAAGACTGTGATTATAAAATTATCTGGGAGTATGTCATTATAAAAATTAGAAGAAAAATAAGAATGGAAAAAGGAGGGAAGGTGGAAGTATGGGCAGTAGGGTAGAGTGGAAAGTATCATTATGATCTTAAATCTGTATATATTAAATACATGAAATTTGTTCACTTTTTATAAATACTTTTAAAGGTAAAATGTCAAAAGGCAGTGTTTTGGGATACAACAATGCAATGAGTCCATATTTTTAAAGTGTTGAAGAACTTTGAATTCCATTTTTACTTTTACAAAAATTGTTGCTAGTATGTTTTTAATACACTAGGATATTCTTATAATCTATGAATAACACATATAATCTTTCATCTCCTGTACTCCTCACTTCCCCTAATCCAATCACTTTCTCAGGTGGCTCTCTGTTCAACAGCATGTGCCAGTTGTGTGAACAGGACTGTTTACAAACACAAACACACACATCTATATCAATGGCATCATAGAGTATTCCTTCACTTGTATCTTGATTCTTTCACTCATTTGTAGATGTTAAAAAGTCATCCATGTTACTGCATATAGTTGTCCATTCATTCTTACTACTGTATAGTTTCCCATTCTATGAAAACTGCAAACCACAATTTAGCTGTTCTACCGTTAATGAGTTTTCCTTAAGTTATTTTAAATAGTCATGCAATAAACATTCTTATACATGGTTTTTTAAAGTATATGTAAGGGGCTGACGCTGTGGCGCTCTCTCTCTCTCTCTCTCTCTCTCTCTCTGCCTCTCTCTGCCTCTGCCTCTCTGTGCCCTTCAAATAAATAAATAAATCTTTAAAAAAGTATATGCAAAGCATTCTGCTGGGTTAATTTTGATCCTTTTCTCTGTTTATTTTTTTTACATTCTCTATTCTTAATTGTTAAATATGTAATTATTATTCTGCTTGCCCTTAATTTAAAGATATTTAAAGTCTTGGTCATAGATTTCATAAACAAAATATTTAAAATGGAAAGGAGAAAAAAATATCATTAAACATATGGTCCTCAGAAAATTATTTCAAGGCTCTTCTTCAGAAGTGTCTTTAAAATTAGGATTCCAGTAAAAGAAAAAAAATTGGTCCAGGAAGAGGCTATAAGATATACAGGAAGAATAAATAACTTACCAGAATTTATTATTGCCTAAAAAAGCAGAGTCCCAAAAATTATACCGCTGTAATAAAATAACTAAATAATTCAAGAGCAGGTGCTTAGCTTAGCAGTTGAGAGGCCCACATGCCATATCAGAGAGCCTGGATTTGATTTCTGGCTTTGGTTTGTGACTCCAGATTCCTATTTAATGCACACTGTGGGAGGTAGCAGTGATAGCTTCAGTGATTGGGTTCCTGTCATTGACCTGGGAGACCTAGATTGCATCCCTGGCTCCCGGCTACAGCCCCTGTCCAGACCCTCCATCCCAGCCGTCACAGACAGATCCCAGGAGTGAACCAGTTAATGGGAGCACTCTCTCTCTGCATCTTAAATAAATAAATAAATAGAATAATTTAGATATACATGGAAGGGATACAGAGGGTAGGGAATGGGATTGTGTGGGTGATCCTGTGCCTGGCTGGAAGGCTGTCTGCCTAGCCTATGCAGGAGGTCAAGAGGGCATGGCATACCATGCTCCACGGGTAAAACCTTGGTAGAGGACTCAGCACACTGAGACCCACATTTGACCTGACTGCTGGCAGATTGAAGGGGCCCCAGGCACATTTCCCACACCCCCAATTCCTGTTGAGGGGCCTTGTAATTGTCAGCTAAAGAGTTCCCAGATGTGGACTAGACTCATAAGACCACCTGGAAAGCTATGTGGACTACATGACCTTCAAGCTATAGCAGAAGCATAGCAGTACCAGTATCAGCATTATCCTATAGAATTGGTGTTGCTACCCTGAGCTATCTACTCCCTTTTGCCTGCCCTATAAAAGCTTGTGCCTAACTGCTAATAAACAGACATGTTCACTGAAACCACCTCCACTGCTTCTTGTCAAAGAACGCTGTCACCCCACCATCTCGACAGTGTGGGCCTCACAGGACAAGCCCACAGGGTTGTGAAAGTTAGAATTGTGCAAAATTATAACTGTTGGAAAATTTAAGAATTTATATTTAAAATAGGCATTTTTTGGTAAGTTAGGAGAAAACAGTGGAAGAATAAACATAAAGCATGCTGCTTAAACTAGCAAATAATATATAAGCCTAATAAAAGACAGGATGGAAGAAAAATCACCTAAAATGAAATAAAAATGGAAAAAATCCTATGATATCAATAATCACACCATACAAATAGGTTATAAACACAAAAGATACTGACTTGGGACATAGAAGAATGAACAAAAGAGGGAAGGCTCCACAATGAGATGCAACATTGCTTTGAAAATTCTTTAAAAAAAACTTGTTTACATTATTTATATAATGCTTTGCCACAGAGGAAAAAAAAATAACACTTAAAATTATTGGACAGAATTAAAGGAGCACAGTGTCAGAATTAATACATCAGGGGTGGTGCTATGCTTAGCGGGTTAAGCCACCACCTGCAGTGCCAGCATGCCATGTGGGTGCAAGTTCAAGTGGTTGCTCCACTTCCAATCCAGCTCTCTGCTATGGCCTGGGAAAACAGTAGAAGATGGCCCAAGTCCTTGGGCCCCTGCATCCATGTGGGAGACCTAGAAGAAGCTCCTGGTTCCTGGCTTTGGATCAGCCCTACTCTGGCTGTTGTTCATTTGGGGAGTGAACCAGCAGATGGAAGACCTTTCTCTCTCTCTCTCTCTCTCAATCTGTGTGTGTGTGTGTGTGTGTGTGTGTGTATGTAAGTGTGTTTGCCTCCATCTCTCTCTGTTGCTCTGCCTTTCAAAAAAATAAATCCTGAAGAAGAAGGAGGAGGAGGAGGAGAAGGAGGAGGAGGAGGAGGAAAAGAAAGACATCCTTCAGGATTTCTGCATTCCATTGAGTCGTGGCTCAAGTGATTTGGTCTCTGTCACCCTGTGGGAAATCAAGATTAAATTCCAAGATGACGACTTCAGCCTGGTTTAGACTCAGTTGTTGCGTGCATTTGGGGAATGAATCAGTGGTTAAGGTATACTTCTGTCTTTCTCAGCTTCTCAAGAGTTCAAGAGTAAATACAAATACACATATATAAAATCACTGTAACTATCATTATCATATACCAATGTTGAACAAAAGGCACAAACAGTAAACACAGCAAAATGAGAAGGATATAACAAAATTAAATGCAGAAATAAATAAGAAGGAATAATTTTTGGAACTTAATAAGCTTATTCCATAATGTGTCTGTGTGTGCAATGTATATGGATGTGTAACTGTGTGTGTCTCTGAATATATTATCTATATTATCTATATTATAGTATCTACATTAATTATATTATAATATCTGTATTAATTTAGAAAATAAAGGAGAGAAACCTTTCCTTGAAACTTTTTTTTGACAGGCAGATTGGACAGTGAGAGAGAGAGACAGAGAGAAAGGTCTTCCTTTTTCCATTGGTTCACCCCCCAACAGCCACTGCAGCCGGTGCACTATGGCTGGTGCACTGCACTGATCCAAAGCCAGGAGCCAGGTGCTTCTCCTGGTCTCCCATGCAGGTGCAGGGTCCAAGCACTTGGGCCATCCTCCACTGCACTCCTGGGCCATAGCAGAGAGCTGGACTGGAAGAGGAGCAACTGGGACAGAATCCAGCGCCCTGACCGGGACTAAGAACCTGATGTGCCGGCGCCACAGGCAGAGGATTAGCCTATTGAGCTGCGGCACCAGCCTCCTTGAAACTTTTTAACACTAAGCAGAAAGCCCATGGTAATAAGCAAAAGTTCATGGTAATAAAAATCACATATAATTATGAGAAAACAAAAATTAACAGAATAAACTAAGAGAGCTGAAAATAGGGCTTATTGGTGAGGAAAGGGTGTATTTTAGTACCTGATGTTAGGAAATCTAGATCATTATATAGTAAATAATTATATGGCAAAAATATCTCAATCTTACATTTTAGGTTAAAGACTTAAATATGAAATAGACAAAATATAAAACTAATAAATGTAAGAGGATATCTTTGCAAACTTAGGTGAATAGGTATTTCTTCAATAGGACTCCAAATTTAAACCATGGGGTGAAAAGATGGATAGATTTAACATTGTTGAAGCCTTAAAGGCTATTATGTTCCCCTAGTGATATAATGGGAAATGTGTAAGAGTGCTAGCAAATGAGGAGAGGAAACCAACTTCTAGTTTGTAAAGACTGGGATATAACAGCTTTCCTGAAATAAAGATAGCCAATGAGAATCATGAGAATATATACAAGAACTTCAGAGAAGGGGAAATCTGAATGACTATCAAATATATGGACACAATCAATCTTATTTCAAAAAATTTAATTCACACATAATTGCACAATTTCATGTAGTACAATATGATGTTTTGATACATCTATACATCATTTAATGATGAAATTATGATAATTAGAATATGAATCATTTCAAAGATTTGTTATTCAAAATCCTCTCTTCCAGTTATTTTGAATTACACACTACATTATTCTAACAATAGTCATTCTACTCCATACTAGATCATCAGAATTTGCTCCTCTTATCTAAATGTAACTTACCCTCATAGTCTTATAACCACTATTCTACTCCTATATGCTCAACTGTTTTAGGGTCCACATACAAGGGAAATCATTCAATATTTGTCCTCTGCATCAATTCATTTCACTTTACATAATTTTCTTTTGGATCATCCATGTGATAGAAAATGACAAGATTTCACCTTTCTGTACATTGAATAGTATTCTATTGTATATATATATTTTCTTTATCCATTCATTCCAATGATGAGCACTTAGGTTGTTTTCTTCTCTTGCCTATTGTGAATACAGCTACAATAAACATGGAAGTGTAGATGTCTCTGGCGTACTGATTTCATATCTTTTTGATATACCCCATAATGGTAGTTTCATCTTTACTTTTTGGAAGAGCCTCCATAGTATTTTCCACATTTATGAATACTCAGAAAAATAGAAATTAAAGCAGTCATTCAAATGGTGATGGTGGCAGAGGTCCTGAATCAGGGAAAGAATAGAAACATTCAGACATTAATATTAACATAACCTCATTTGAAATCACTACCTCACTAACTGGTTTTCATATTTAAACAAATGTTCCCATTTATTTATAAAATGATGGTTATGGATACAAAATGTAAAATGAAATGCAGATTTAAATTGGAAGACTTAATCTAAATTTGAAGTATACACAATGACAACAGTAACAACAAAAAACCCCACATATATGATAATTACCTGGGTGAATGAGGTGAATGGCTCATTATGATCTCAGAGGGACTTGAGTTGATTCACCCTTATTCTTTGACCTGAAGATAAGGACATGCATGTATCTGTCAGATGAATACAGTCCAAACACTCCCCCTCATGGCAGTGTGGAGAATTTGTATCCAAATGCTCTTGAGAGATTGAGACACTTTTTCAAATACTTAGATCAACATAAAATGCTGCAATTACAGAACTTAAATATTAATTCTACTTAAAAATCATGAGAATAATAATCTGTGATGTGAACCATGGTTGAACATAATATCTTTATTCTCAAATTTATATCTCCCTTTCTCTCTGTCTCTCTCTCTCACTGTCTAACTCTGTCAAATAAAAAAAAAATTTATGTCTCTACTCTGATTGCTCCATAAATTCCAGAGTCACATATATAGATACTTAATGAACATACTCTCTTGGATGTAAAACAGATTATTTCAAAATTTACACATTAAAAATAGAACTCTTGGGGCCAGTGCTATAGTGCAGTAGGCTAAGCCACAACCTACAGCATCAGCATTCCATTTGGTCAGCGATTCATGTCCTGGATGCTCCACTTCTGATCTAGCTCCCTGCTTGCGTCCTGGGAAAGCAGTAGAAGATATTCAAGGTCCTTGGGCCCTTGCACCTATGTGGAAGACCCAGAAGAAGCTCCTGGCTCCTGACCTCAGAACCAGCACAGTTCAGGCCATTGTTGCCATTTGGGGAATGAACCAGTGGATGGAAGATATCCCTCTCTCTGTCTCTCTTTTTCTCTCTCTCTCTCTCCCCCCTGCCTCTCTGTGACTCTGCCTTTCAAATATATATATATATATATATATATATATATATATATATATATATAACCACCAAAACTGTCCTTCCTCTTATCCTTGACTTGAAAGAAACCCTTTGTACCTTCTAGAGAGATCTTTATAGTGTAGAGCAGATCCTTTGCCCCTGTGTTCTACCCTTCCAGGGGTTGATATTGTAAAAACTCAAATGCCCTCCCAGACCCGTGGACCTTCTTGTTTTGGTCCCCACCTCCATTCCCTAACCATTGTTTCAAGCACACTGACTTTCTCTTTCTTGTTGGAATGCATCAGGTTCATTCCCATGTAGTCACTTGAACCAAATATTCCTTTTTTCTGAAACACTCTTCACTAACAATTTCATTTGTCTTACTCGGATATCAGTTGAAATGTCATCGTCTCAGAGAGAAGACCCATAGCTCTTTCAATCATCATTCTGTCTTATTTCTACAAGGTTCTTATCACTGCTTGGTATTTTCTTGCTTCCTTTTATCTTTCCACTATCCATTCCTCCTTATTATGATACAGTCTCGCAAAGATGGGCAACTCCTATGATTTGGTGGTGTCTCTTTCATCCACACTAAGAGCAACGCATCGTAATGTAGAGATATTCAAGCAGTATTTTTTAAAGATTTATTTTATTTATTTGACAGAATTTCAGAGAGGTAGACAGACAGAAAGAGAGAGAGACAGAGACAGAGACAGAGAGACAGAGAGGTCTTGCATCTGCTGGTTCACTCCCCAAATGGCTGCAATGGCTGGAGTTTAGCCAAACTGAAGCCAGGAGCTTCTTCCAGGTCTTCCATTAGGATGCAGGGGCCCAAGGACTTGGGCCATCCTCCACTTCTTTCCCAGGCCACAGCAGAGAGCTGGATCAGAAGTGGAGCAGCCAGGACTTGAACCGGTGCCCATACAGGATGCTAGCACTGCAGGCCTGGGCTTTAACTTGTGGCACGACAGCACCGGACCCTTCAAGCAGTATTTGTTGAAAAATGAAGGGCTATTTTACTCTATTAGTCTTGTAAAACAAGGTCACTTTATCATGACTTTGTCAGTTAGTAAACCTGAGTCCCTAAACAGTGCTGTGAAGTTAGATGCTAGATACCATCAGGTATTAATCTCTGGTCCCCCAGCTGCCTCCCTTAGCTTAAAGATTCCTTGCCCTGGTTTTATATTTGAAAATCAACTATTTTAATAAAATTAACTCACTGAATTGAGGGAATGGTGCAGTAGGCCCTACCAGGTCCCTAACAACTTGACCCAGTAGTTCATTTGGTTCCCTATAAATAACATCTTGATGTTCAATCTTGTCTCAAGGAGTTTCTTGTCCAGTAACTAAAGGCCCAGTAACTCCAAAATGTATGTTGCCACCAAATTGACCGAAGCTCACTTTGTCATCAAAATTCCCTTAAAAACAAGGTATTATTGACCAATCAAAGCAAGGGCATGACTGATCAACCAGGCACCCAGACATGTGCAGAACAGTACTTCTGAATTCTAAATTCAGTCTGTAAAAACTTTCACCCATAACCCCTCAGGGAGCCCCCAAATTAAGTGACAGCTGCCTGGATCCTTACTTTGCCTTGCACAGTGAATACTTACTGTCTTCCTCCAACCCAGTGTCAGTGGCTTGCTGCATATCCGGCAGTGGTCCCAGTTTGGGGGTTCCATAGCATCTCCTCCAGCCAGCTTTTGGAGACTTATGTCAGCAGACTTAACTCAGTCCCAGTCTCAAGGATTTTCAGCACTCAGTGAATTCCCTCCCATAACTTGTCTGGGGTCCATATTCTGTCTCTTAAGGAAGTCTTTCTTCAGTAACGAATCTTAAATTCAATTTACCATAAGCAAATGATTAACTAAAAGCCTACCTTTCTAACAATTTATAATTTTAATATGGCTTTATGCTTAACTGTAGAATTTACCAAGTATGTACAAAGGAGTTTTCCCATCGTGTTTCTTTATATGAAGAATTTTGCTAGAGTACTAGGATTTTTTAAAAAATATTTTAAATTAGCCATATTTTACCCACCTTCTTACCTCAAACAAGTAGGAATATAACTCACCGTTTCTTCTTTCTTTTTTGAACAATGCAGAATATGATCACGCCAATAAATGAAATGCATAAAAGTGTTATGAATCCACCAACTACAGGTAAACAACAAGTACCTAAAAAACACAAGGCAAAAATGTGTACATGTATGCTCCTTTTCTTACACACTATACTGCTCTCTTGCTTGGTACTTTCAATCTGCAATGCTTTTCTGATTTTCCATTGTATTGTTGACATTCAAATTGACATTATAAGAAAAATTGCCATAGTCTAATGTATAAATGAATGTACTAATGTATATTCAAACTGCTACATGTATTTAAGAGATTGAGACACATAATATTTAATGTCATGCTATCACTCCCAAGAATAAGAAGATGTAACTACTTAAATATTCACTATGGGAAAACGTTAAACAAAATATATCACTTGATGAGTGTATTATTGAAATACAATTTCCAAAGTCTATAATAATTTCAGAAAATAAATTTAAAATAATAATAAATATTTAAGATTAATGTGCTAAGAAAATATGACAACCATTTTATAAGAGCCATATACACTAACTGGGTGAGTACTTTAATTAGGTACAAATGAGAAATAAAATCTCTGTGATATTAAGGAAATCATCTTAAGTTAAGGAGCAAGTAGGTGGCACAAATGGGAAATATATTCATTTTTGACTACAGTGCCTGAACTCATACAAAAAAATTGCAAAATTTTAAGCATAAACACTTTTGAAAACAGCTATTATGACTATAGTTGTCCTAGCTTGTATTATAGATGCCTTTTCTCTAGGTAGCCCTAGGAATATAGGTACTCTTCAGCTTACCTCCCAATAAACCAATTGTAATTGAAAACTATAAGTCAAAATTTCATTTAATATACTTAACCAGCCAAACATCCTAGATTAGCAGCCTAGCACAGTATAGCTTATTGTTTGTTCACCCTCATGACTGTGTGGCCAGCAGGGAGCTACAGTTCAATGCTGCTTTCCAGCATTGGGACAGAGTGCCATACTGCATACCACCAGCCCAAGAAAAGATTAAAATTCAAAATCCACACTGTGGGGGCCAGATTTGTGATCCAATGGCTCAAGACATCACCTACCTGCCATCACCCAACATTGGAGCACTGATTTGATTATTGGATACTCTGCTTCTTCTCCAGCTCTCTGCTAATGAGCCTGGGAAAGCAGTGGAGGATGGCCCATGTGCTTTAGTCATTACAACTCATGTAGGAGACTCTGATGGAGTTCTAGGCTCCTAGCTTCAATCTGAACTACTCCTGGCCGTGAAGGACATTTAGCGGAAGTGCACCAGCCAATGGAAGATCTCTTTCTCTCTTTGTCATTCAGCATTTCAAATAAATAAAATAAATCTTTAAAAAAAATCCACAGTATGATTTTTACTGAATGTGAACACTTCAACATTACAATATTTTCTTGATCACAGGTGTTTTGTAATGAACTACTTCTTTCATAGGCCTCTGGTACAGATTACATTGAAGGCAATGTAGAGTTTGAATTCAGCCTCTAAATATCTTTTTGGAAAACAGTAATTTTTAATGATTTTAAAAAGTTTGGAAATTGTAGATTTTTCTTTTGGTGACTGAGAGGATACTCATTAAGAATCTTAAGGTCTCTCTTTAATTGCAAACAGAAAAATGGGCTTTTATATAAAATGAGTAAGTGTGTTCACAAAAGTTAATGGTCAATGGGGTATTTGTGGGTTGGGAAATAATAAAGTAGAAGGATATATCTGCAAATAGGTCTGTTCAATTTTTTTAAAGATCATTTATTTATTTGAAAGGCAGAGATACAGAGAGACAGAGGCAGAGAGACAGACAGAGAGAGAGAGAGGTCTTCCATCTGCTGGTTAACTCCCCTGATGGCCACAACAGCTGGAACTGAGCAAATCTGAAGCCATAAGCCAGGTACTTCTAGGTCTCCCACTCATGTGCAGAGCCCCAGTACTTGGACCATCTTCCACTGCTTTCCCAGGTCATAGTAGAGAGCTGGATCAGAAGTGGAACAGCCGAGACTTGAACCAACGCCCACATGGGATGCGGGCAGTACAGGTGGCAACTTTATCTGATACACCAAAGTGCTGGCCCCGGGTCTGTTTAATTTGAAAGAAATTTGAGAAAAAATTTCATGGTAAAAATAAAACAATGACATGGTTAATCGGAAACTTTCATTATACCAACAAAGGGGAGTACCTCTATAAAAAGACTTCTCACATAAAAAAAGAAAAATCAGAAGCCAAACCATCCTTAGGTTGGAGGCCATTTGCATAATTTACATTTTTCAATGTAATGACAGTTTAATGGAGAGTCATCATTACAATTATAAATGTTTTTTCTTAGACATATCATAAAAGTGAATATAGTTGGTCCTTAAGGAAATTTGTGCTTGCATTAATTAGGATCAGAGATTTATGTCTCTAAAATTTATTACAAGATTAGCAAGGAAGAATCCTTTTCTGAACTGATAACTTATTTCTTTACTTCCATTTGTATCTCAATAGAGTTAAATTAGCCATAATAATCCAGCAATGGATTGATGGGAAATATACATGCTATTCAACTGGCATATTCCCATTTTCTGAGATGAGGAAATGTTCAGGAAGAGTACTGACTAATTTCCATTTCAGAAACAGATATAACAGAAATATTTACCTTTAATTCTTCTTGAGATTACATGAAAATTATAGTAACAAGAAGAAAAGGGTTAAATGCAAAACATCAGACAGAACAAAAAAAATGTGGTGAAAAAATGTGAAGAAACAAGCTTATGGAAGATGTCAAGTGGACAGAAGGATGATCTGTGAAGGCTCAGGACAAAAGAAGCTGCAGTCTCCTGATGCACAAGGCAGATTCATCTGCAGAGAGAGATATCAGCAGGACTTGGAGAGGCTCAGGACTCTGAGGGCAACAGAGAGGGGAATGAGCAGTGCACTTACAGTTTGAGTTGAAAGCCCCCATTTCTAATATTCCAAAGTACAACTTGGATAGCCACATGCTTATACCCTAGCCAAAAATGTAAAAAGGAAGTTAATTTATTGCACATTCTGAGAATAGCTAGAGCAGTAGAGGTCAGGGTCCCAGAATGAAGGTGTTTACACTCTGCCTTTTAAACCTCCAGTATAGGCTCACCAGGAACTGGAAAAAGTCTGCAATCCAAGGAATGGAGCCTGAGTAAAAGAAACAGAAAATTAAAGTGATAGGAGGGGGAGGGAGTTGAGAACGTGAACTAAATAAATAAGGAAGCCAGATAATTATGATACCTCTAAATTATTTTTCCTGGATACGTTTGAGAAGATATTAGTTTCTTAAAACAAAAGGGGCTAGTGCTTGATCTAGAGATTGTGACACTTGCCTGACCTTCAGCTCTTGCCTCCAGCTCCCCACTAATGCAGACCCTTGAAGGCACAGTGATGGCTTAGGTGATTGACTTCCTGTCACCCACATGAGAGACCTGGAATGGGGTCAGAGCTCTTTGCTTCAGCCTGGAACATCTGCCTCTCTGTTGACTGGACAGGCTGGCAGGGCAGAGAGAAACCTCCACACCCAGCAACTGTGGGAGCCTTGCATGCAGACACTGGGGAGACTTGGTGGTTACATGAGGAGGTGCAGGTTTTAGCTGGGTTTCTGGGCAATCACTGGGTGTGGCTCCACATACTTGGAGCTTCTTGGTTGCCTAGAACAGATCATTGCAGTGGGAACTGTTCACAGTGAAGACTGCAAAGATCATTTGTGGGGTTCATATGGTGACATGGAACACACGTGGGGCCAACACCTAGGCATTGAGATCTGCCATGACCAACATGGGTGTCACTCTGGATACTCATCGCACCCTGGGGCACTGACCAGAGCTTCCTGGCCATACCTACCACACACCTCTTGGTATTCACTGAACATGCAGTCTACCAAGCCACAGAGGCATAGCTCAAAGATAAAAGCCATCAGAGAAAAAAAATAAAAAACAAAACAAAAATCAACTACACAAATGCCTAAAAAATAAATCCAGAAATTCAAGAAAAAAGAATAAAGGGCCCTAAAGCAGGCTAATTTTTAAGTTGATAATTTTGTAGGGTCCACACATAATGTTATAAAGTTCCAAAGGCCCTTGGCAGAAACAAAGGATCCTCATGCCTGAATTAAAGGATTAAAAAGTAAACGAAACTAAAAATATCATTAGGATAAACAGAAAATACTATGCTATCAAAGAGAAAATGCATTAACATCTATTATTACTTTTTACCAGATTGGCATTTGACTTCTCATCAGCAACAATCAATGGCCAAAAACAATGGAGAAATACCCTAGAAATTCTGAGAGCATAAGAATGATTGATTTAGAATTGTATAGTTATCAATCACATGTAAGAGCATTCTATGAATGTAGTATAGACCCAGTGGCTTGTTGTCATGCCTACTACAGTCACCAGGGAAATTGCCTGTTATTCAGATTCTACAGTGTTGAGTATTGGATTCTACTTAAACCATGTTTTACTAGTCTGGAAGATAGAGGATGATGGAAGGGTATTTTGTGCTAGCCTGAATGTACTGTTGTTTTATACAAGTTTCATTTTGTGTTCGTCTTCATTTTGTCCTTTATTCCAGAGACAGCTTAATTCTGAAATTGATGAGATGTTCTAGGCTGACTTGAGATGGTGTTTAGTCTACATCTAGATTGTGTTAGACTGTTCATGCCAGTACTCTTCTAAAACAGGAAATGTCTCTGTAACTCATTGGATTCAACATCATTGATGATTAGTGATGCTTTTTCTTGACTGATATGACTAAACTATCAGAAATTTTATCTGTCTCATTAGTTCCCAAAATACAGATTAACAAATAGCATCATACTAAAGTGGATTTATTTAGTATTCTCACCCCACTCACCTCCCATGGAAATTTCAGAAAGATATCAGACTGGGAATTAGATGTCCTGTAGTTACTGCAAGCTGTGTCAACAAATGGGATCCTGGAAAAGTCATTAGCTTGTGCTTTCACATAGGTTCAGCATGGAAAGAAAAGGGTACACAGACATACTCTAATCTTCTTTAATTTGTAATGAACTACTTGCCTTCTCAATGTATATCTTAAAGGAAATGCTTAACTCTACCTCATTACATAGTCTATGATTTGAAGTGTTGCTTTGTGAATAGCAGACACAGTGTGATTAGTATTAGCTAGCTTGCTCATCTGACCTTGCTGTTAGCTTGATTCACAGAAAATGCTTATTATAACTCCAATAGAGAATGCTTCTAATCTCTTTGCTGTACACTCTGACTGTGAATTTCCTTGTGTGTCCTTTAGATAAGTAAATTCTGATTTGCCCAAGTGATTCATGTCAGCCCATCAGGGCATACTTACTACTAAAATTTGTCCAGCTGTGGTCATGCAGCTTGTCATGTGAAGTGGGAGGGACACAAAAGTCCCAGGGCTGTTACACTGGATGTTTCATGGGAATTCACCAGTGTGACTGGAAGAAGGGAAAGGGAGATGCTATTATATAACTCATTTTTTAAAAAAATTTATTTGACAGGTAGAGTTATAGACAGTGAGAGAGAGAGACAGAGAGAAAGGTCTTCCTTCCGTTGGTTCACTCTGCAAATGATCACCACGGCCGGCGCTGCGTGAAGCAGCGTGATCTGAAGACAGGAGCCAGGTGCTTCCTCCTGGTCTCCCATGCAGGTGCAGGGGCCCAAGCACTTGGGCCATCCTCCACAGCCTTCCCGGGCCGCAGCAGAGAGCTGGACTGGAAGAGAAGAAGCCGGGACTAGAACCTGGCACCCATATGGAATGCCGGTGCTGCAGGCGGAAGATTAGCCAAGTGAGCCACAGCCTGTTACTCATTTTGTCTTCTGACAACCCACCATTTGAAAAGGCTAAGGCCTTAACAGAGGAGGAAACTTTTAAATGGAAACACATACATGTTTTCTTTAACTTCCTGGTGCTTGAAATGTAGCCCATTAATTTGAAGCAGCATCCAGAAATAAAGACCAAGGCATGACACCGGACATGTCTTTGATTACAAGGCTCAAAGAAATAATGAATAATATGAAGAAAGAGCAGAAATGAGAACTCTATAGGCTGAGTGGTTTGCAGTTCCACGGCAACCCAGGGCAACTTCTTTTTCCCAACAGAGATATTTGAGATTATACATTCTTAAAAATGGCCTTCAAAATTAATGAAATTTTTCTCTGAAACAGAAGTTGAGAGAACTGGTTTCTGTACAAATGCAGTAAATGAAAAAATAGAATTCTACAGGTAGAAAAAAATGATTCTAGAGAAAACTAGGAATGTAGACAAAGAAATAAAATGCAACAAAAAGGGTAAATATAAATGATTATTTTCATAAACCACATCAATTGAATGCAACAATAATATATTGTGGTATTTCAATATGAGTATATACTGCAGCTAGTGTCATGGCTCACTTGGCTAATCCTCCACCTGCGGCACTGGCATCCCATATGGGCGCCGAGTTCTAGTTCTGGTTGCTCCTCTTCCAGTCCAGCTCTCTGCTGTGGCCCAGGAGGGCAGTGGAGGATGGCCCAAGTCCTTGGGCTCCTGCACCCACATGTTAGACCAGGAGGAAGCACCTGGCTCCTGGCTTCGGATCGGCGCAGTGCCAGCCTTGGCGGCCATTTGGGGAGTGAACTAATGGAAGGAAGACCTTTGTCTCGTCTCTCCCTCTCACTGTCTATAACTCTACCTGTCAAATAAAAAATGAGTATATACAAAGAATCGGCATGCACAAAAACAACAGCAAAAAGATCAGGAGCTGATGTAAGACCATTGCATTGTCCAGGGAGTAATGAGAGTACAAAATATGTTAGACTTTAATAAGTCAGAGAACTATATTAGGACCCACCACTAAAAGTAATGTATATTTCCCCCACAATTAATAGGTAGGCAAAATGAAGTAAAAATAAATAGGGGCTGGTGCTGTGGTGTAGCAGGTAAAGCAGCCGCCTGCAGTGCTGGCATCTCCTTTGGGTGCTGGTTCAAGACCTGGCTGCTCCACTTCTGATCCAGCTCTCTGCTGTGGCCTGGGAAAGCGGTAGAAGATGGCTCGAGTCCTTGGGCCCTTACAACCATGTGGGAAACCTGGAAGAAGCTTCTGGCTCCTGGCTTTGGATTGGCGTGGCTCCGGCTGTTGTGGCCAATTGGGGAGTGAACCATTGGATGGAAGACCTCTCTCTCTCTGCCTCTCCTCTCTCTATGTGTAACTCTGCCTTTCAAATAAATAAATAAATCTTTGAAAATAAACAAATAAATAGTTAACCTCAAAGAATCAAGAAAAGATAAAGGAACACTAAACAGATAAAATAATAGAAAATGAATCAAAATTTGGTGGATTAAAAGCCCAAATATCAGCTTTATAGCAAATATACAGAGACTAAAACTCGAATGTTAAAAGATTATTAAGTGGAATATAAGAAAATTATTGGAATATTTCTTTTTGGCTTCTACTTGTAGAATTTTTCTGTAAAGAAAACATCTCCTGTTTAATTATGGTTATGATCCAGAAGAAATACAGCTGACCGAGCTTGGAAAAAGGAGAGCAAGGAGAAGTGGGTAGCTAAGAGAGACTTTCTGTGGTGGATGACCAAGAAGCAAGTTTATCCATGCTTTTGAAGATTGAGGAGGGAAGTGGCAAAGAATAAAACTACTGGGAGGAAAGGGGTGGGGGAAAGCTGACTATGGAATAAATGATTGCAATCTTCAGTGTTCATGGCAAAAATGTAGTGAGAAGCACAAACAAAAAGATCAATTCAAAATTTCCATCGGAAAACAGTTGCCCCAGGGAACACAACTCCAGTAGTGTCCATCTTCATTATCTGAACCTTTCAACCTATTACACTGATCCACAAGTTCAAAAACAGGTAATTACACAAGTCCTTCTGTTGGTGAATTTTAAAGGGAGATGCCTATTTCCCCGGTTGACATATTCCGTTCTACTTACATTCTTGTCCTACTGACAGAGGAACAATAATTTCTTCCTTCTTTAAAGGGTGATCTAGGTGCACAATCAGATGTTGGAATCCTAAGGACCTCAGAGTCTCCAAGGAGACAATGCACGTCTTAGTGACAGTCACCGTGCCATTGGCGTTCAGAACAAGCTGCTCCTCTGGTGGTTTAACGAGGGCTTGTGATGGGAAAAGAGCGATTTGAGGAGCAGGTTTTCCCACAGCTGAGTACAGAACATTAAGAAAACCTTCGGGATTCAGCTGGAGCTCTGTTCTTAATGCGGATACAGCTGAGGCAAGAAAGGAGAAACAGAAATTAAACATAGAAGTACCTCCCACCACATTCCTATGTTAGAGACTAGACTTGCCTAAACTGCTACTTGAAGTCGAAATGTTGAAAACATACCCCCTGGGATACCTCTCATTGCTTGTTACAAAACTCCCAGTATCATTTCCCATACCCACAGACAGGCCCTCCAAATTGAGGTAAACAGTTGGCGTCTCAACTTTCATGGAATCTTAGCAAGATATAAACTCCCAATACCTTAAATTTATAGCAACAGAATAAGGGAGACTGTGACACTGTCACTAGCCCTTAAACATTTTGTCAGTCTGAAGCCTGGGAAATCTTTCTTCTCTTAGAGTCTTAAACTCCTCTCTTTCTCCTTCTCTACCATCTCTTTTTCTTTTCCTCTCTTTTCCCAATTCTCTAGTGAGAAAATTCTGATGCTCTTTGTGAATTTTACACACTGGATGAAAGCCAGTGCAGCATAGCTATGTGAGAGGTTGAGGATCTGGTGTTGTGGCGTAGCAGGTAAAGCCTCCACCTGCGACACCAGCATCCCATATGGGTGACAGTTCAGATCCTGGTTGTTCCATTTCTCATCCAGCCCCCTGCTAATGTGTCTGGGAAAGCAGCAGAGGATTGCACAAGTCCTTGGGCCCCTAAACCCACATGGGAGACCTGGAAGGAGTTCCTGACTCCTGGCTTTGGACTGGCCCAGTTGCAGCCATCACAGCTATTTGGAGAGTGAATTAGCAGAGGGAAGACCTCTCCTCTGTGTCTCTCCGTCTCTCTCTCTGTAACTATGCCTTTCAAATAAATAGTTTTTTTTTAATGAGTTGATTGAAAATCTAAAAGGCGATGCCTGGTTTTATAGTGAAAATGAGCTAATCACATAAGCATTGTTGGCTTCCACCTTTGCCTTCTGCATAACAAAATATGTGGCCTCTCTGACATCTATTAGTCTTTCCTCAGTATAACATTCTTTCCCTGTTCACCAGCCTTAAAAGACCACAACCCCATGATTTCTGCCCCAGTAATTTGAGCCTACAGAAAACACTGATATACTTAAAATGTTAAGGCAGATTTGTCCTCCACGGCTGCCGTGTGGAAACACATTAAACAAACATTTGTAGCAGGCTTCGTCTTCAAATGTCACTTCAAGAATAGTTATGAATGAGGAACTGGGTTCGATGCTCTTGCAACGCAGCCTATCTGTGTATGGCGGAAGGATCTTCTCTCCATTTTTACTGCTGTAAGTGGCAATATTTTGTGGCAAAGAATCTTGGATCTTCTGCCAGGTAATTTGCACAACATCTGCTACCGTTGTTAAATTGCAGAAAATAGTCACATTTCCTCCCAAAACAGCCGTCTCGTTATTTTTATGCTTTATCCTATGTGAAGAATCTAAAAATAAAATCCAATATTAAACAAGCATTTATGCTAGCCTGCTTTACCCATATCACAGTACTCATCTCCATGAATTAAAATTATCATTTTATTTACCTCCCTTGCCCACTAGGAAATTAACTCCTCTATCTCTTTACCACTGAATTCCTTGTTTCTAAATGTATTTCTGGCATGTATTACCTAAGCAATAAATATTTATTGAGCGCAAAAATTTAGAAACCATTTAAGCAATATACAATAAGCATTGTTAGCTTTCTTAAAAAACTTTTTAGTTAACAGATCACAGGATAAGAATACCATTAACTGATCTGAACAGGGAAGGGTGTGGTGGTTATAGCCATATAACTCAAACATATGAGCAGAATAAGATTTATCCTGAGATCTCTATCAGAAACACTGATTTTTCTCAATCTTTTGCTCCAGTGTGTTTAGATTGGTAGGATACTTCAATTTCTGTGTTGGTTGAGACACAAATTGTTAATTTTTCACAGATACCACCTGGTAGCAGAACAGGGCATGTGGTTAGGTTAGTCTCTAATATGAAGTTAAAGTAGAATTTTAAATTTTTCTCCCATGAGAAAGAAGAGTTTTGGAAAATGTGTCTATTAAGTGCAGTGTGTGTGTGTGTGTGTGTGTGTTCAAAGTGCCACTGATTACAAAAATTAAAATTAAAAGAAAAGAAAGAACACAATTTACCAATATTCCTTCCTGCAATGAAAGGATGATTTAATAATATTTAAATTGATCAATTTAAACTACCATATTAAGGAAAAAATGATTAAAATAACACGATTATTTAATAGATTCAGAAAAAATCATTTGATAAATGTCTACACCTATTCATGAAAAAATAGTAGCAAACTAGGATTATGAGAGAATTTCCTTTACATAATAAAAGGAAACTACAATAACTCCTCGGCTAACATTACATGCAATTGTCATTGCTTCTCCATTGAGCTCAGAAACAAGACAGAGATTTCTACTGCTTCATCCCTTTCTCTACAACTCCTGACTAGAAATCCTGGCTAGGCTAATTAGCTATAAAAAAGAAATGGAATGAATAAAGATTGGAAGGGATTAAAGTAGAATTTTTTTCCAGATGACATGATTGAGTACAGAGTGAATTACAAAACTCTATGGACAAACTGTTAGAATTCAGAAGTCAATTCAGTAAGACCCTGGATCCAAAATAAATGTCAAGATTGTCAGTTTTAGCTTCAACATGTAAGAGCTTAGAAGTTAGGGCCAGTGTTGTGGTGAAATGGGTTGAGCTGCCATCTACAAAGCTGGCAACTTATGTGGACACTGGTTCGATTCCTGACTGCTTCACTTCCAATCCAGCTCCCTGATAATGCACCTAGGAAAGCAACAGAGGGTGGCCCAAGTACTTGGGCCCCTGCACCCATGTGGGACACCTGGATGAAGCTCCTGACTCCTGGCTTTGGCCTGGTCCCACCCCTGCTGTTGAGGCCATTTGGGGAGTGAATCAGCAGATGGCAGATCTCTCTACCTCTCTGTCCCTCTCTTTCTCTGTATCTCTGCCTTTCAAATAAATAAAATAAATCTTTTTTATAAAAAAAAAAAAAACTTGAAAGTTAATCCACCCATAATAACATAAAAAAAAGCTGAACAAGCTAAAAAGATCTTATCATGAACTCCTCAGAGAATTGAAGGCAAAGGGCAAATCAGCACCCTGAAATGTGGAGCAAAAGTAAGTACAGAGAAGGAGAGCTGAGATGAGCTCATTTAGAGTATGTAAGGAAAAGGCACACAGATCAGAGAAGGCAAGATACGGACTCACAGCCAAAATGGAGAATATATTCACAGAGATAAATGACCAACTGCCAGCCTGCACAGACTGAACACGTGGCAGAAGACCCAGCCCTCAAGAGGTTGGGCTTTTTATATCTCAGGTGGGCTAGTGGTCTGGAGGGGAGGTGGGAGGCGAGAGACGGAGGTGAGTTTCTCCACATAGGTTTGGCACCTGGTTTTCCAACCTGGAAAAGAATGCAGAGGGTGGGGTGGGGAACAACACAGTGTGTGAGATCCAATAGATTTCCTTGAAAGAATGCAGGGATTTGGAATAAATTTGGGGACCTCCAAGGATGCAGGGGTAAAAGGTAAATTCCTGGCAAGGAGCTAGAATGACTCAGGCTTATGTACTTTTGCCATCAGAGTAAAAGCCACTGGAGTCAAAAAATGATAGGAACATATCAATGGTAATTTTGATGAATTGTCAGAAACCGAGCATCAAGGGACTTGAGAGTGACAAATTCTCCAGGGCAATAATCTTAGGGAGGCCATATCTGTGGGTCTCACCTCTCAGATCCTTGTCAAGTGAATAGCCAAGAAAAATCACCTTGTATCTTTGGAAAAGGAAGGGAAAAATTAACCATTCTGACATGGTTACCAGAGCATTTTCCACTTAAAAAAATACCCATTCTTACGGAAAAAGACATTTTACCAGAACCTGATCTCACATTGTTGGAAACACAATAACAACTCCAGTTCCTTCTAGTTCTCCTGTCTTAACTAAAAGGGCTGAGGAAAAGGGAAAAAAAGGGAAGAATATGGCTCATGGTCACAGCTGAGATACACAGGTCCACTTACGAAAGAAGTAAACCTAAGATTTTAGAAAACTTCCCATCCACAATCCCTTCCCACCATATCAACAGAGCTCCTGTAGAACAGCAGTGGATTACAGCCAAAATAGTTACAAAGTTCTGAGTTCAGACTCTGATTAATAAGGAATTTTGGGGGAAATACAGAGACAACAGGGCAGAGAAAAACAAAGAAGCTATAGAGATGTGAAGACCTTGATGCCAAAAGCTATGGTAAACAATAAACACAACTCAAATTCTAGCCAGATTAACACAAAATTCACGGTAATGCTCTACCTTGGTTGCTACTACCTAATTTATCATATCTGTCTTTTGACAAAAAATGAGTAGGCATGCAAAACCAGGGGCCACTGTTGTGCTGCAGTGTGTTGGGTGCTGCTTGTGACACCAACAACCCATATCAGAGCTTTGGTTAGAGTCCCAGCTGTTCTGCTTCCAATCCAGCTCCCTGCTGATGCATCTGGGAAAGCAGTAAAGGATGACCCAAGTACTGGGATCTCTGACACCCATGTGGAAGATTCAGATGGAGTTCCTGGTTCCTGGTTTCTGCCTGACCCAGAGCTAATTGTTCCAGCCATTTGGTAAGTAAATCAGCAGATGAAATATTCTCTCTCACTCTCACTCCTCTCTCTTGACTCTTTCAAATATAATATATATATATATATATATATATTTAACAAAAAGGCACAAAAAGAGGCTAACATTGTGGTGCAGTAGGCTAAGCCTCTGCCGTGACATTGGCATCCGTATGAGCACCAATATGAGTCCCAGCTGCTCTACTACCAATCCAGTTCCCTACTAACGCACCTGGGAAAGCAGTGAAAGATGACCCAAGTGCTTGGGCCACTGCCACCCACCATGGGAGGCCCAAATGAAGCTCCAGGATCCTGGCTTTGGCCTGGCACAGCCCTGACCATTGGGGCCATTTGGGGAGTGAGCCAGGAGATGGAAGATCTCTTTCTATCTCTCCCTCACTCTTTCTTTCAAGCAAATAAATAAATCTTTTTTTTTTAAGTGAATAAAAAGGGGGCCGGCACCATGGCTCACTTGGTTAATCCTCCACCTGCAGTGCCGACATCCCATATGGGCGCCAGGTTCTAGTCCCAGTTGCTCCTCTTCCAGTCCAGCTCTCTGCTGTGGCCCGGGAGTGCAGTGGATGATGGCCAAGTGCTTGGGCCCCTGCACCCGCATGGGAGACCAGGAGGAAGCACCTGGCTCCTGTCTTTGGATCGGCACTGTGCCGGCATAGCGGCCATTTGGGGAGTGAACCAACAGAAGGAAGACCTTTCTCTCTGTCTCTCTCTCTCACTGTCTATAATTCTACCTGTCAAATAAAAAAAAAGTGAGTAAAAAGATAATCTGAAGAGACAAGGGGAAAATCTAAAGCAGCCTAGGATAAAACACAGATTTTTGATTTCCAGGCAAAGAATTTAAAGTAATTTTGATTAATGTATTAAGGATCTAAGTAGAGAATATAGACGTCATGCCAGAGCACATGGAAAATGCAAGCAGAGATAAAAACTGTGAAAAAATCAAAATAAAATGGGACAATTAATAACAACAACATAACAGATTGAAGAATGCTTCTGATGGGCTTATGAATACATTGGACATTGCCAAGGAAAGAATGAATGTCTGGAAAATAGCCTCAAAAATCTATTTCAGGTTCTTGCCTTTTACTTAGAGAAGAATTCTAAGTACAGGCTTAAACATGATGTGCAGTGTGATAAGGTTAATGGAGAAAGTGAGAAAACTACACAGGGACATGGGGGCTTTATTAAGGGAGAGTGGACCAGGAAGGGGAAAGTGGGACCTCCAGGGGTCCACCAGGAGAGAGAGGGAGCAATCAAGAGCATAAAAAAGAGGTCCCTTTCCCCTTCCCCAGGCTTCTTATTCATGTCCAAAAGGGAAGTAGTTACATGGTACTGCTCCCAGGTCCCAGATAAAGGGAGGTTCAACTTGGGGAGAGGCCATCTGATTAATGATAGGATTACATGGGGGGCAGGCTAGATGTGGCCTCCAGTTTATGAACTTTATCTCCCTGATCTTTCCCACTTTATTATAACAATAAGAAACAGAAAGACAAATATGGCATTGTTGCACATATACAAAGCTTCTACAACAGTAAAATTAATAGATACAAGTAGTGAAATAGTATACATCAAGGACTAGGCAGATGGAGAAATAGAGTGTATAATATCTCAGTCAAATAATATAATAAGCACCAGAGATCAACTGTGCAATATTGCAGCTACAGTCAATAAAAATGCATTATACAATTAAAACTTTGTAAGAGGGCATATTTGATTTTAAGTGTTCTTACCACAACAAAATAAAATAGAAAGGAGTTACCAAGTCACAAAAGACATGGATAAACCTTAAATACATATTTTTGAGCAAAAGAAGGCAGTCATATATTGTACTATTCCAATTCTGGAAAGCATAAACTATAGAGATAATAAGAAAGATTACTGGTAGCCAGGAGTTCAGGGGGAAGAGGTAGAGTGGAATAGGTGAGGCGCAGGGGATTTTTAGGAGAATAAACTGTTTTGTATGCTGCAATAGTAGATAACTGATACTACGCATTTGTCAAAGTGTATGGTGCTGTACATCACAGAGAGTGAACCTTGATGTGTTCAACCTCTTTTTATTATTATTATTATTATTATTTTTTGACAGGCAGAGTGGACAGTGAGAGAGAGAGACAGAAAGGTCTTCCTTTTTGCCGTTGGTTCACCCTCCAATGGCCGCCGCGGCTGGCATGCTGCGGCCGGCGCACCGCGCTGATCCGATGGCAGGAGCCAGGTACTTCTCCTGGTCTCCCATGGGGTGCAGGGCCCAAGCACTTGGGCCATCCTCCACTGCACTCCCTGGCCACAGCAGAGAGCTGGCCTGGAAGAGGGGCAACCGGGACAGAACTGGTGCCCCGACTGGGACTAGAACCCGGTGTGCCGGCGCCGCAAGGCGGAGGATTAGCCTGGTGAGCCGCGGTGCTGGCCGTGTACAACCTCTTAAAGCATGATTTAGGAAATGGGAATTCCGAGAAGGCAGGCTGAAACCTCAAAATCTAACTGTGTGACAAATGTCTCCTATGTAAACATAAGCATGTATAGTATATACACTTGATATAATGTGATAAAAATAGCTTTTTACCCCTCTGAATTTCCTCCTGAAAACTCATACCTAGTGTAATCATGAAAAAAAAAATCAAATTCTGATAACTAGTAATCCTATAAAACTCGACTTTTCAAAATAAGCAAAATCATCAAAATATAGGAAACTCTGAGGAACTGATACTTGACAAATAATTTTAATGAGGGAACCTAAGGAGACATGGCAAATAATTGTATCCTGGATTGAATTGAGGCGTAGGATAAAAAAGACACTAAGGACAGCATTGTGGTGCAGCAAGTAAAACCACTGCCTGCAACACCCACATCCCATGTAAGTCCCAGCTGCTCCATTTCAGATCCATCTCCCTGATAATGTGCCTGGGAAAGCAGAAGATGGCCCAGGTGCTTGGGCTTCTACCACCTAGGCTCCTGGCTCCGTTGTGAACATTTGGGGAGTGAACCAGCAGATGGAAGATCCCTGTGTGTGTGTGTGTGTGTCTCCCTCTCCAACTCTACCTTTCAAATAAATGTCTTCAAAAAAAGAAAGAAAGAAAAAGGAAATTAAGTAAAAACTAAAGACTTGTGAATTAACTATGATCTCCTGCTAAGAACAATGTATCAAATTTGACTTATTAATTTTAACAAATGTCATGCTAATGTAATTTTCTGTTAATTTCAGAAAAAAACTGGGTAACAGAGCATAAAGGAACTATGTAGTAGTTTCTCAGTTTTTCTGTACAACTAAAACTATTCTAAAAAATAAAATCAAATATCTTTCCATATATGTGCAATAAGCAAGTAGAAAATAAGCACTGGAAAACAGCATTTACAATAGCTCATCCCTCCATAAAAAGAAAAAAATACATAGCAATAAATTCAATGGAAGATATACAAGACCTCCCCAATAAAATCTGCACATTATTTCTGAGAAAATCAAAGACTCACATAAATGAAGGATATACCATATTCATAGATAGGAAAGAAATTTTAATGATATTAATTCTCTCCAAGTTAATTTCTGGATTCAAGGAAAGCCTAATAAAATTCAAGCAAGCTTTTAAATTTTTAATTCTGAAAATTTATAAATTGATTTTAAAAAATCAAAAGAACAAATTGTAAATTTACAATTCAGATACCAAATTAAATTAATAGAATGCAATATTGATTCAGGCATAATATAGAGTGTTAGAAACAGAAACACATCTGACACAGATGACAAATGGCATAGATTGCATAGGATTGGAAAAAAAGGTGATCTTTTCAATAAAAGATTCTGGGTCAATGAAATGCCTTTGTGGAAAAATTATATGTTATATATTGACCCCCACCTAAGACCAGGACAGAAGTCCATTTCAAATGCATTAAATATCTAGATGTTAAAGGAAAAATAAACTTTTAAAATTAAGCATTGTAGAACATCTACCTAACAGCAATGGACAATGATTTCTTAAATAAGGAACACATTAACAGTTATTTAATGGCTTATTCCTTTCTAAGTAATATGAAATAATGAAAAGTGAAAATGTGGCCTACTTTAAGACTTAATAACTCCAGTTATTCAAAAGATACATCCTTAGAAATAAGAAGGCAACCCACATTTTGAGAGGATATTTGCTATACATATATATGACAAAGGACTTGTATCCTAATATACAAATATTGATATAATTTCACAAATAGATAAGGGCAGACAATTCAATAGAAATTTGAGCTAAATATTTGAATAGTGACAACACAAAAGAGAATATCCAAATGATTGATAAAAATATTTAAAGTGCTCAATTTGGTCATGAAAGAAATGCAGATTTAAACAAGGACAGCATAGTGACTGAAATAAAAGACAGACAATCCCAATTTTGGTGAAGACCTGTAGAAAACATAACTCACATACACTGCTGATGGGAAGGTAAATTCTTTCAATTACTTGGGGAAAATTTTTAGTTGTATCTTAAGCTGAACATAGGTATATCCTGTGATCCTCAAATCTCCTAGGCATATGTCTCAAAGAAATGTTCTCCAAGAAACATGAATTAAGGTGTTCATAGTGGCACATTTTTAATAGCCAAAACCAAGAAATTACCCAAATGCAAATAACCAGTAGAAATAATAAATAAATTTTTATATTATACAATGGACTATAAAGAAATTTTTACCTTCTGTATTAAAAGTGAACTAATTCAATGCTGAGATGCTACTATTTTAAATCTTTCAAATGACAAATATTCGAAAGTTTAACATTCAGTAGATGAGCAGTGATATTTAATGAACTAGGTCTACTCTCAACAGAATGGATACGTTTCACCAATACATTGTTGAATAAAACAGCAGCAGATGACTAGATGCTAAATGATTGCATTTATTTTAAGGCAAGTTAGCAACAGATAAAATACATCTGTCGTGGAAGAAGCTAGAGGTCCTCTTAGGAGAGGACCATGAAAGGAAAGGCACCCAAATAAGTTCTGGGGGGCAGCTATTGTCCTGTCCCCACCTGTGCTGGATACATTCACATGATCGTGATGAAAAACTGCATACTTACCATCTGCTTACTTCCCTGTATGTCTGTTTTATTTAAATTCAAAGGAAAATAAAGACTTAATGTAACTTGATCCACATAGCTCATATTATGTTCTTTGATTTTTAATCACTGCTCCACACTTTAGTGCTCATATTGTAAGCACGTGATTTTTCCAAATATCCTTGGTCCATATTATTCACACAGCAATATGGAATATGTAATACATGTAATAGGTCTTCTTATAAACAGTACTTCATTTGTGAGCAAAAGCTCTGTGATGACATCTTGCCTGGCTGATTTCTAGGAGTATATTATTGCAGCAACCCATTACCTTTCTAAGTCTTAGAGTTTTTAATCTGAAACAATGGTCTTAATGGTATCTGACTCACAGGATATTTATTTATAAATCACCATAGATGTTTTAGTTACTGTAGGCAATGTGATCTCTTCCCTTAGGGAACAATACAATGATACAGTGGGGCTTCAAAAATCCCATTGGCAAATATGTGTTATGAAAATTATGCATGGGTTTCAAAAATTTTTTGCACCAAAGAACCTTCTAATTCTACTTCCCACCAACTTTTTGAAGTATCCTCATACATAAGTAAAGTCAAAATAGGAACACAAAAAAAGGCAACAGTCAAGCTCTCACTATTCTCAAAACAGTTTCTCTAGTTGTTCTTATCACATCCTTGCCTAACTATTTGTTCTTATGTTTGTCTCCTTCTTTAGGTTCTGAGCTACTTGATGACAGAACCAGTCTTGCTCATGGTACATTTTAGATGGTGAAGTAAATTGTGAAGAAATAACAGGGACACACTGGTTTCCTCTACCTTCCTCCTGTCCTCTGTCATCCATCAATAGCTTCGGGTGAATCACCTAACAGTTCAGGAGCTAACTCATTGTAGGAAAAACTCCTGAACCAGAAGTTAGAATAATGGTTTTTTTCTTCTTTGGAAACTACCTTGACTTTTTCCTTTCCTGAGTTCCTTAGAACACTTATTGCATTTACTATGAATCAGAATAATTCTAAATTAATTCAAGTTAAATACTTCCATCAAATAATTTTAAATCACCAGAAGATAGTAAGACTAAACATTTGTTAAAACCTTAATACATCTCAGTACTAACAATAAGCAAACCCACAAAGTAAATGACTAACAAATGAAAACTTACCTGCTTGACTTGACATTGCAAAAGTCAAGAACTTGTTAATGGCCGTGAAAAGCTCAAAACAAACCAAACTCAAAATCAAAAGGTAAATATGCTGCAGGAATATGTCTACAGGAAACAGTACAAAACAAAGCATATTAGCAAAAAGATCCTCTTGCCTCTAGCTGGTTTATGGCTTCCAGATTGAAACACTTATGCATACTTTAGAAGCAGTGTTTATTTCCTTTCTTTCATTATCTGTTTATATAGCCATTATTTCAAATATTCTCAAATATTTGCTAACTACGTAATAGGATAGCTACATGATTAGCACACAGGCCCATATGAAATACCCCAAGGACCTGTATTTATAAAAGTAAGCAGCCTACAGCCTGGTATTTTTTTTTTAATCCTTGGTTTCCAGCTAGCTGCTTTTGAGAGAAAAAGTAAACAATTACCTTGTGCCCAGACGGGAAGCATGAAGAGGTAGAGAATGTGATAGAGCGGGAAGCCCATGGAATTAGATGGCAAAATCTTCACTAACACTAGAAGTATTTTTTTTCCAAACTGAAAAAGGAACTCTATATTAAAAAATCCCGCCAAAAATGTTACTCATTAACCAACTTCTTTGCCTAACCTGCCTGGCAAAGTGCTTTGTGAAGATATTTTTCTGTGGCCAGAGTATCTTTCATGCAGGAGCTCTGAAAACTTAATTGCTGATTTGGAAAATTTAATTACCTCCTTTTTGAAGCTGTTACTAAGCCTTTCCTAATGTTTATGTTCTGTTGTCTATGATATCACAGACAAAAAACTTGTTTATACACAGTGATTGAGATCAACGGAAAAGACTGCTTTCTGTTGAGGCATGCTACATTTCCGAAAAAAAAAATTCTTGGTATCTAAATGCCTACAATTCCCCCCCAACACCCCACAAATCAAACAGCTGGGGTAAAAAAATTAAAAATTGACTTTTCTGTAATGTCTTTAACACTTTCAAATTAAGTATTATTCAGTTATTAAAATGAAAAGAAAGCACACAGAGGTCATTGTCCTTTCTTATAAACTCTCCTCTCTGTACACTACCTAATGAAGAGGGAAAGCATTCTTTGCCAGTGTTTTTGATTTCCCCTTTTCTCCTTAAATTCCAACCCAGCCAACTATTCATTGGCCTTTTATGCACATCAATTCACACCAGCTTATCCATAATGTCTTCCTCCTGCTGGTGTCCTGGAAAAGCTGTGCTCACTCACTATCAGTTCACAGCACATTTTAAGCCAAACAGTCCATTTGGAAATGAGTTTTTTCTCAAGCACTTTTCTTATGGCTGTGATACTGATTGCTTTTGGGACTGCATCTTCTCTCTTTCAAGTTAGGGGCAGTGGTCTTTATCCAGAAACTCTTATAACTATAGTTAATCAGTCAAATCAATGAAGAGTGGGAGGACTGTAACTAGGGCTAGGACCCTGGACAGATACTGTCCTCAAGGAGAACAGATAATCTCAGCTTCTGCAGAATGAAATCGGTAGGAATCTCTATTTCATACACACACACTTACTACTCAGTCCCCTCCCCCTATAGTCAATATATACACACCCACACAACGGAAATATTCTTTGTAACGAGCCTTCTCTTTTTTGTTTCGGTCTCTTATCAGTCCCTATAAAAATTATCTTTCCCTTTCATGACTTCTCCCCCCTATTTTCTGTTTCAGAGGTTACAGAAGTCTCTGAGGTCATGGATGGGCAGCCACACCCTATCCTACACTTCATTTACAAATATCTGTCTTTTTTGTTGTTCCAGGTGTTGGAGATATTTCTTCCTTTTCCTCTGTTAACACAAACCTTCCTTCTATCCATATTGTAGCAACTAAGCCCACTCTTAAGGCCTACTGTCTACTTGACAGCTTTTGGGCTAATAAGGTCAAGCTAACTCAGTTCCCAAAGGGAACTTGAATGAAATTGAATCCATGAGTCTATTACTTCTGAAGTGGGGAACCAACCCTGAAGCAGAGGGAGGGCTCATTCATTGCGAATAAGGAAGTATTCGGGTCCGACAGCTTCTGGATTGATAAGTAACATTGATACTACGTTGAGGAGCAGAGAATGAGGTAAAGACCCAACCCAGGATCATTTCCTGTGAGTAATGTAGATATGAACACAGGAGTTATAACTAAAAAAAATCCATTGGATCCCAGCCATATTTAAAGAATTAAAGGGAAGTATGGCAATGATGTGACTCTTTGAATGGAATATAAAATTAACATCCAACTATTCACTGCTTATAAGAAACTCACCTTAGTTTTAAGAATAAGCATATGTTGAAAGAAATGGAAAACGATATATCACGCAAATGATAACCAAAAGAGAACAGGGGTAGCAATCCTCATATGAGACAAAATAGATTGTAAAAAAGTATAACAAGATTTAGAGAAGTTAATCATATAGTGAAAAAGTGATAAATTAAACAGGAGGATGTAACAACGGTAAATATCAATGTGTCTGATACTCACCACCTAAATACATAAAGCAAATATTGACAGATCTGAAGGGAGAAATAGACATCAATACAGTAACAATACCAGACCTCAAAACCATGTTCAACAGTGTATAGATTGTCCAGACAGAAAATCAGTAAAAAATAGCAGAAATGAACAATGTAGAATAAATTTACCTAATAGATATATGTAGAACATTCCAGCCAACAGTGGCAGAGTATACCTTCTTTTCACGTGCACCCAGAACATTCTCCAGAAAAAAGCATTTGTTAGGCTACAAAACGAGTCTGAAAAAATTTAGGAAGGTTGAAATCACATAAAGTATCTGTATTTGTTCATGTCTCATTACTGCAATCAAATACCCGAGGCAAGCTAACTTTATAAAGAAAAGAGGCATATGTAGCTCTCAGTTCTGGAGAATGAATTATCTTTGCATACCTGGGATAAATCCCACCTCCAGTAAAATCTACCAAGAATAAAAAAAAGAATTAACATCAATTATTCTCAAACTCTTGCAAAAACTGAAGAGGAGGAAACACTTCCAAATTCAATTTACAAGGCCAGCATTAACCTGATGACAAAGCCAGATGAGAACAATATAAGAGAAAAATATAACCAATATCCCTGAATACCATAAGCAAAAATTTTTAACATGATATTAACAAAATTACCAAATCAAGTTCAGTAACACATTAAGAGAATCATCTACCATAATCACCAAAGTGCTGGATACAGATCAACTTATACAAATCAGCATCATTTCTATACAGTAACAGCAAACCATATGAAAAAGAAACCAAAAAAAATATTCCATTTTATCACAACCACAACAAAACTACTTAGGAATAAATTTAACCAAGTAAGTGAATGGCCAATGTGCAAAAGCTATAAAATATTGATGAAAATTGAAGAAGACACACAAAAAATGGAAAGGTATCCTAAGTTAATAGAGTAGAATTATTATTGTTAAAATGGCCTTATTTCCCAAAGCAATCTTTAGATTCATTGCCATCCTTTTAAAAATTCTAAAAACATGTTTTTTAAAAAAAGCAAAAGCAAACATAAAATTTATGTGGAACCACCAGTGACCCCCCAAAAAAAATCCACAAGTGGACTATTAGAGGTAATAATGAATTTGCAAGGCTATAACATACAAGATCAACATAGAAAAATCAGTCGTACTTATATACACCAACAATGAATAACAAGAAAAATGAAATTAAGACATCAAGTCCATTGTGATAGCATCAAAAATAATTAAGTGCCTGAGAATATACTTAACCAAACAAGGACAAGGCTACTGAGGCCATTTGTTGATTTATTTTTATTTATTCTTAATTTTTAAAAAAGATTTATTTATTGATTTATTTATTTGAAAGTTAGAGTGACAGAAAGAGAGAGGAATTTTTGTATCTGCTGGTTCACTTTCCAAAAAGCTGCAAGAGCCGGGGCTGGGCCAGGCTGAAGCCAGGGGACAGGAACTGCACCCTGGTTTTCCACACAGGTGGCAGGAACTTGAGACATCCATCATTCACTGCCTTCCAGGCACATCAGCAAAGAGCTGAATTGGAAGTGGGGAGCTGGATTGGATGCAGAATAACTGGCACTAGAATTGGCACTCTTGATATGGGAAGTGAGCATCCCAAAAAGTGGTTTAATCCACTGTACCACAAAGCCCAGCCCTGTTTTTAATTTTGCTCATATTTTTAATTTTAACCGATCAGAAAGTTGTACATATTTTTGGGGTACCATATTGTGTTTATATATATATATATATACATATATATACACACACACATTGTGTGATGTTCACATTAGGGTAAATGCATCTATCTCCTCAAACATTTATCATTTTGTGCTGATATTTGTTTTCATTTTTTTTTTTTGAGATTTATTTATTTTACTTGAAGAAGCATAGTACAGACAGAGAGAGGGAGAGAAAGAGAAAGGTCTTCCATCCACTGGTTCACTTCCTAAGTGGCCATAATGGCTGGAGTTGGGCCAATCTGAAGCCAGGAGCCAGGAGCTTCTTCCAGGTTTCCCACATGAGTGTAGGAGCCCAAGGACTTGGGCCATCTTCTACTGCTTTCCTAGGCCATCAATGGGGAGCTGATCAGAAGTGGAATAGCTGGGACTTGATCCAACGCCCATGTGGTAGGCTGGTGCTGCGGGGGGATACTTCTGTCCACAGTGCTGGCTCCTTTCTAATTTTATTTATTGTGTTTTTTTGCAACTGAAATTTTCATTTTTTAAAAAAGATTATTTATTTGGAAAGCAGAGTTGCAGAGAGACAGGGAAAGATACAAAGAGAGATCTTCCATTCACTGGTTTACTTCCTACAAGGCTGCAATGGCCAGGGCTATGCCAGACTGAAGCCAGGAGCTTCATTGGGATCTCCCATGTGAGTGCAGGGCCACCTTCTGCTGCTTTCCCAGGCCATAGCAGGGAACTGGATAGGAAGTGAAGCAGCCAGCATTCGAATCAGTGTCCATATGGGATGCCAGCACTGCAGGCAGGATCTTTACCTGCTACACCACAGCTCCAGCCCCTGAAATTTCCATTCCAATACCACCTATTTTATTCAGCAACCTTTTATTTCATTGTCTCAAGCTTCTATATTTTTCTATTGTCTCAATTATGTTCACAATTATTTGCTGAAATATTTCTATGCTGACAGTGTTAAAATTCTTTTTGCATAACTCCAACATCTGCAACATTGTGAGATTTGTGCCTTTTTTTCAAATTTATTCATTTGAAAGGCATTTTAAAAATATTTACTTATTTTCACTTTCATTTAAAAAGCAATTAGAGGAGAGAGTGAGAGATACAGAGAGAGAAAGAGAGAGAAAGAGAGAGTTAAAATCTACTGATTTACTCCCCAAACGCCTGCAGTATCTGGGACTGGGTGAAGCTAAAGCCAGAACCAGGAATACAATCCAGAACTACCATGTAGGTGAAAGAAATCCAATCATTTGAGCATCAATACTGTCTCCAGTATCTACATTTATAGGAAGCTAGAGCCAAGAGCCAGAACCAGATACTCTGATAGAGTTTGTGAACATCTTACCAGGATAAATGTCCACTCCAGATCAATGTCTTTTTGTATGCTCACATTGAGATCTTCTTG